GGTCTAGGGAGTGGGACGTTTGGGACATAGTTCAGTACTTCAGCTAGTTCTTTTTTTGCAGGGTCGCTTCTGCGGTCAACGGCTGAGGTGCATCGCGGAAAAGAGTCGGCCCATTTATGGCAGCCCTTGCTGGGCGCAAGCGTCAAGATTTTGGGATATTCCGACACCATGCAAAGAATATTGTCCCACTATACAGTTCCGCCTGTGCTCGAAAAGCTGCGCCTGCTGTAGACCGCGTAACAGGCCGAACAACCTTCTCCTCGCGCAGTTTCATCTTTGCGAAATTTTGTTGACCCTAGTCGTGATCGAACTACCCACCCGAAGTTCGTAGGTTATTGAGAAGAATCCATTCTACATTCACAACTCACAATCCGAACAAACACGGGTCGTTTTCATTGAATGAAAGATTGAGAAGAAAGGCAGACGGCCCTACGGAACCGCGATTTTTCGCGACACCTCCTTATCGACTTTTCCGTGCTTTTTAAGCTATCCCATGTAACTTGAAACCACAAATCATATACGCTCAATTCGGTAGCGGTCTTCTCAACTGTTTCAAGCACATTTGGTTCCATCAAATGTTTCAGGTAATTTTTACCGAAGTTCGACATCCAACGATCACCCTCGCCAACTTCGAGGCTATCGCCATCCCTACACAAGCTTTCCAAACTATCGCTTCATGGCTTATTTTTCCGCAAATGCGTGGCCAAACGAATAGTTTATATCGTGAGCTGATTCCGCTCTTTCTGCCCTAATTCGAGGTAGAAGAAGAAAATCGTGAGGATTCGCTTGGTGAGCATGTTGCATTCAAGGCTTTCAAAAAGTGGGAGTAGTCCCTCTAGAGCAAAGCTTACCGCGATTTGGATAGAGCAAGAAACGCGCTTTCTAAAGATATGCAACTCGTAGCAGTCTGCCGAAAACTTAGCCAGAAATAATGCCATGAACTTGAACTATCGAAAACGGCCAGAACTTTCCTTTAACCTAATATTGGGTTGTCCCATAATTCCTGTCCGAATTTCGACACTTTCTTCTCATCGAGTTTTATCTTTCTCAAAAAACCAATTGATCAAAAATATAACCATTATCATAATCACGATATGCATCCATTCACCAGGGAACCTTTGGATGCTTTCCTCCTAGAATGGGTGAAGCTATGAGCTGAAGAATTCAGCAAGGTCGTTTTTGGAGTGGTTGTATTTAGTGACTTTTTTCTCTCGCCGCTGCTGGCTCAAGGCACTGTGAAAGGGATAGCCCGATGGAGTGATGCCAGGGCTATACGATGGACATGGTATCGTGGTCCAGCCAGTTTCCCTCAGAACGTAGCGAGTTATCTTTGCAATGTGAGGTCGAGCGTCTATTCGGAGAAAGGGGATTTTGGGATGTTTCTCTCT